AACACGATCAACTTGATCGATTTGCATTAGTCGAACTCGCTGCGACCTTAAAAGGCCACAGAAATATCACGAAGCTTTCTCATTCATATAATAACACCCACAATCAGTTTTATTTTTGTGTCATTTCACAATTGTTTTTTATTAAAAATACAAATAAATAACTCAAATACAACGCTTAGGTTAATTTCAATGCCAAACTCAGTAGAACATGAAATTGATCAAGATTGTGATTAGTATGAAGATCAGATACGATAATAGATCTCATAAAAAGCTCTGTTAGTACAATACAAAACATTCACAATTCACTTTCAATATTTCCATTGCCACCTGCCCCTCTCACTGCACCAACTTGAAGCGATTGGCCTCGGCATAATCCCTCGGATCGGAGAAGTTTCGTTCCGGCTTGATGCGCACATCGTTCGGATCGTTGACGAATTCACCACTCCAAGTCGTTGGCAATATGGTCGGATCGGTATTATATTCGAAATAGTCCTGATCATCGGAACGATTCCGCTCCGGCTTAATGCGTGTCTCGCCGCTCTTCACAAAGGTGCCATCCCAAGCCGTCGGCAGGACAATCGGTTCCGTATTATAGCCATAGAAATTGTTTGTGTTTGTCACGTTCTGATTCTGGCGACGTATCTTGGACACATTATTCACAGCTCCATCGGGATACACGAATTTCCCATTCCAGCCTTCACACTTAATGGGTATATATTCCTCTTTCTTCCGTAGCGGCATTTTTTTCAACACGAACTCGACTTGGCGCGTTTCAAAATTCGATTGAACTGAAGCGACGCCAGCTATATTCTAAAATATGATTTCATACAGGTGTGTGTGTGTGCTGGTACATATGTGTGTGTGTGTGCTGCCAATACCTTGGCAAATTGTAAATGATTATTATTGTTCACTGTTTTGTTGTTGTTGTTGTTGTTGTTGTTCAACCCACACTTAATTTCAGCTAATGACGTCATATATCACTCAGACGTTTGTTTTGTTTGTTTTCTGTAGACAAAACAGGTTCGCTGTCTCAGCTCTGAGCCAGCCTCCTCCACGGCTTTGCATATCGCTTAGGCAGTGCCAATGACAACAGTACTAGACGATTTTCTGTTTTCGCCGTTTTCGCTTTACCATATAAGCCGACAAATTAAACAGGCTACATCTCACCAAGCTACCTAATAGGTGAACAAACGCAAGTTCCGCAAGTTGTCTGCAAGCCAAGCTAAATACGCTAAAAATGAATATAGGGTATACTGTATATTCTTTCATCTGTCTGTTTATCCGGCTAGTCTTCATGTTGTCTATCTATTTTTTGGTCTATCCTTTCGACCATCTGACCGTCAGCTCGTTCGTTTATCCGTCCGTCCATTTATCCGTAAATTTTTAGTTACAATTATCCATCTGTATAACCTTAACATCTCTATAATCTATCATTTGTCTGTCTATCCTAATACCTTTCTCTCTCTCTCTCTCTCTCTCTCTCCCTCTCTTTGTTGTTCTCTCTTTACTTACTTTAGTGTATCTACTAGTCGCTCTTAGCTCTTCTCACATTTTCTTTTCTATTTTTAATTTGCTTATTCTAATCGACAATTTAATCTTGATTGCCAGCATTTGACTGATTCATACGTCGCATAAAATAAAGTCATAAAATTGTATTTCCTTTTATAGACGATGGCAAAGATTTATTTATTGTTGTTAACTTGATAAATTTGCTGTTAGAATATAAATATGTACATACATA